CTCACAACAACCCAAAACTTATGGGACACAGCCAAGGCAGTCCTGAGAGGGAAGTTCATAGCCATAGAGGCCCACCTAAAAAAGTTAGATATATTCCAAACAAGCAACCTAACCAACTTGAGGAACAACAACAAAGGCAGCCCAGAACAAGCAGAAGGAAGGAAATAACCAAGATCAGAGCAGAATTAAATGACATAGAGACTAAAAGCACAATTCTAAGGATCAATGAATCCAAGAGCTCGTTCTTTGAAAAGATAAAGTCGACAAGCCTTTAAGCAGCCTCATCAAGAAAAAAAGTGAGAAGACCCAAATAAACACAATCAGAAATGAAAGAGGAGAGATTACAACAGATACCACAGAAATACAAAGGATTGTAAGAAATTACTACAAAGAACTGTATGCCAAGAAATTTGAAAACCTAGATGAAGTGGACACATTTCTAGAAAAATATAATCTTCCAAAACTCAATGAAAAAGAAGCAGAAAGCCTCAACAGACCAATAACAGCAAAAGAAATTGAAGCAGTAATCAAAAAACTCCCAACACACAAAAGCCCTGGACCAGATGGTTTCACAGGAGAATTCTACAAAGCATTTAAGGAAGAGCTAACCCCTATCCTTCACAGACTGTTCCAAAAAATCCAAAAAGATGGGAGACTCCCAAACTCTTGTGATGAGGCCAACATCATCCTAATTCCAAAACCAGATAAAGACACAACAAAGAAAGAAAACTTCAGGCCAATATCACTGATGAACACTGACGCTAAAATCCTCAACAAAATACTGGTAAACCGCATCCAACAATACATTAAAAAGATCATACACCATGACCAAGTGGAATTCATTCCAGGGATGCAAGGATGGTTCAATATTCGCAGATCAGTAAATGTAATACATCACATAAACAAAAGCAAAGACAAAAACCACATGATCATATCAATTGATGCAGAAAAAGCATTTGATAGGGTACAGCACCCATTCATGATAAAAACACTCAGCAAAGTGGGAATAGAGGGAGCATTCCTCAACATAATAAAGGCCATGTATGAGACACCTACAGCCAACATCATACTCAATGGGCAAAAACTAAAATCTTTTCCACTAAGATCAGGAACAAGACAAGGCTGTCCACTTTCACCACTTCTATTCAATATAGTACTGGAAGTTTTAGCCAAGCAATCAGACAAGAAAAAGAAATAAAAGGCATCCATATAGGAAAGGAGGATACAAAACTTTCACTGTTTGTAGATGACATGATAGTGCACATAGAAAATCCTATAGACTCTACCAAAAAACTGCGTGACCTAATAAATGCATTTGGCAAAACAGCAGGATACAAAGTCAATATCCAGAAATCAAAGGCATTTCTGTACACAAACAATGAAAGAGCAGAAGCAGAGATCAAGGAAAAAATCCCATTTGAAATAGCAAAAAGAAAAATAAAATACCTAGGAATAAATCTAACCAAAGTGGTAAAAGACCTGTATTCAGAAAACTATATAACACTGAGGAAAGAAATCAAGGAAGACACAAACAAATGGAAACATATACTGTATTCATGGATTAGAAGAATTAATATCATCAAAATGTCCATACTACCCAAAGCAATTTACACATTCAATGCAATACCTATTAAAGTACCAATGACATATTTCACAGATATAGAACAAACACTTCAAAAATTTATACGGAATTATAAACGACCCTGAATAGCTGCTGCAATTTTGAGAAAGAAGAGTAAAGTAGGAGGGATCACAATACCTGACACTAAACTCTACTACAAGGCCACTGTAATCAAAACAGCCTGGTACTGGCATAAAAACAGGCACATGGACCAATGGAACAGAATAGAGAGCCCAGAAATAAACCCAAGTCTCTATGGTCAATTAATATTTGACAAAGGAGGCAGTAACATAAAGTGGAGTAAAAATCGCCTCTTCAACAAATGGTGTTGGGAGAACTGGACAGCCACGTGCAAGAAAAATGAAACTTGAGCACCAACTTACACCACATACAAAAATAAATTCAAGGTGGATAAAAGACTTAAATGTAAAACATGACACCATTAAAGTCCTAGAGGAGAACGTAGGTAGGAACATCTCAGATATTTCACAAAGAAACTTTTTTACTGACTTGTCCCCTAAAGCAAGGGACATAAAGGAAAGAATTAACAAATGGAACCTCATCAAAATTAAAAGCTTCTGCACAGCTAAAGAAAACAGTATCAAAATGAAAAGAGAACCAACTGCATGGGAAAACATATATGCCAATGATACCTCACACAAGGGTTTAATCTCCAAAATATATGAAGAACTTACAAGACTGCACTCTAAGAAGACAAGGAATCCGATTAAAAAGTGGGCAAAGGACTTGAACAGACACTTCTCCAAGGAGGACATACAGAAAATCCAAAGACACATGAAATGATGTTCAATATCGATAGCTATCAGAGAGATGCAAATTAAAACCACAATGAGATACCACTTCACACCAGTCAGAATGGCCATCATAAACAAAGCAAAAAACAACAAGTGTTGGAGAGGCTGTCGAGAAAAGGGATCCCTAGTGCACTGTTGGTTGGACTGCAGACTGGTACAACCACTATGGAAAGCAGTATGGAACTTCCTCAGATAACTAAAAATGGATCTGCCTTTTGCCTTGCAATTCCACTGTTGGGACTCTATCCTAAGAATACTAAAACACCAATCCAAAAGAACCTATGCATCCCAAAGTTCATAGCAGCACAATTTACAATAGCTAGATGCTGGAAGCAACCAAGATGCCCATCAGTAAATGAATGGATCAAAAAACTATGGTACATTTACACAATGGAATTCTATGCAGCAGAAAGAAAGAAGGAGCTCCTACCCTTTGCAACAGCTTGGATGGAGCTGGAAAACATTATGCTAAGCGAAACAAGCCAGGCAGTGAAAGACAAATATCATATGATCTCACCTTTAACAGGAACCTAAACAACAAAACAAAGAAAGAAGCAAAATATAACCAAAGACAATGAAATAGAGGACAGGCTGACAGTGCCCACAGAAGAGAGTAGAGGGAATCTCAGGGGACAGTGGGAAGGGTTCATGGGAACAAACTTAAAGGACACATGGTCAAAAACTAAGGGGACGGTGGTAATGGGAGGGAAGTGGGGAGGGTTGGGAGGGGGGGCTGGATTGGGAGTAAAAAGGAAAAAACTGTATTTGAACAATGATTAAAATAAAATTTAAAAGAATAGGCAATATGTCATTCACTATGTAAATAAACCTATGCTATACTTTGATTCACTTTGTTAGCAATAAGGAGTAAGTCAGATTGTATTCTGAAACTGGCCTCATATAAATATCTTGATGAGTAAAAAAAAAAAGACTTTTCCATTATAGGGACTTTTGCTCATAATCTGGGTCTGTACTAGTCATGCATTTGTGAGCAGATAATGGAATGTCTAGGTGCCAAAATATCTTCAAATATAAAATGGGGTAAGTCATTTGTTGCATTGGTTGGCTGTAAAGTTTAAATGAGAATATACAAAGAGTTCAGGCATACAGATAGCATTTAAAAACCATTAGTAAGTTCTTTAGTATCTATTATCAAGAGAAAACAAAACAAAATAAAGAGAATGTTATACTTAGTATAAAATTTAAGTGGCTTTATGTGACAGAAAATGCCTAATAATAAATAATAATCACCTAATATAGATCTAAATGAATGAGTTCTTTGAAAGGTCAAAATAGAATGTTGTGTTGAAATCCCCTAAATTTTCCTAGAAAGCAAATTCTGTATCATGAAAACAAAAAAACCCACAAAGTAGAGAAGATGAAATGAAAATGCCTAATTGTATCCAACAGGCAAAATGAGTTTTGCAATTTTTTTCTTGCAAATTTTACAGGGTTGGGTATGGTATGAAAATAGAGTTCTAATTACATTTTATTTCCCTATGGTATATATTCAGCAACTGGTAACATTGCATTAACCATTAGTTACTCTTGTGGCTAAAACGATGATTAATAGCAAACTGTTTAGAACAAAGCTAGAAGAATATGTCTAATGCTGGGATATAGGCATATAAGAATTTTTTCTCAGAGGAGAATAATAAAGTTGCAGGAACTTGAAACAATGCCATATCAACACTGGCTGAAGGATCTGGGATTAAGGAGGAAGGAGGGAGGATTGTGATAAAATCAGCTCTTGTCAAAAAACTGAAGGAAGAAGGATTAAATTTATTCTGTATAACACAAAGTGACAGAATTAGGAACAACAGGACTGAAGGAAGTTGGATTGTTAGTTCAATTAACAGTTTAAGCTATACAAAGAAGGAATGACTGCTTCAGGAGCCAAGGAGTGCTCCACATCAGCAGGATGTTCTTGAGTTTGTTTCAAAGGAACTCACATAAGTCAGCAAAGGAGCCAGAGCTTATAGTATTAGGGTTTCTATAAGCCTGGGACTCTGACTCTGGAGAAACACATCAGTTGTCCAGAGCAGGAGATGATGATTAGGTTACTAGGCATTCTCTACTGAAAACATAGACAGGATTTTTTTTAAATGCTTTACCTAAAGCTTGTTACAGAGTTTTCTAAAAGTGGAACAAAGTTATCTCGTTCATTCAACAATTATCTACTGATTAAATACTACTACTATTAGAGCAAGTGGAGGAAGGAGGAGGCCATTTTAGCTATGGTAGCCAGGCAGAAAGGACTTTCTGAGGATGACATTTGAGCAGAGATCAGAAGTGAGTGAGGGTATAAGTCATACTAAAATCAGGAAACAATGTTTTAGGCAGAAGGAACAGCAAGAAAGCTAGCACAAAATAGAGTGAGCAAGGCTCAGTGGTAGGGCAGGAGGCCTAGAATTTAGATTTTACTCCAAGTGTGAAAGGAAGCTACTGTGCTTTGAATAGGAAACTGACATGAGTTATGTTTTAAAAAGCCTACTCCAATCCCCATGTCCAGTAACAGATACTAATAATTATGAAAAATATTCAGTGCTCCAAAGAGTACTTACCATTCGGTCGAACGAGAAGTACGAGTTCCCCAGAATGTCTCTCACAGATAGCTTTAATAAACAGGACAACCTGATCGTGGGTATATTCTGCAATGTTCCGACCATTGATCAATACAACTTGGTCCCCTTCATTCAATCGAGGGACACAGAGGTCAGCCTGCAATGTAATGCAAAAAAGGTTTCAGATTTGTACATAGCTTTCTAAAAGTAAAGCACAAAACTTTGTATTTATAGACTCTTTAGCATGAAAACTAAAACTACATATAGCAAAGCATCTATCCATTCACTCAACTACTTAAAAAAAAGATATAAATCTAGCTTTCCCTGGAAGATACCTTATTTTTTTCCTTCTTCATTCAACAACTTTTCCCCTGATGCCCTATTAGGTGCATAGCCATACAGATAAGACTAGTTATCTCAATGTCACTAGATACAGTCAGCCTTCACTTTGCACTGTCCAGATATGCACAAATTTCAGTTACCACAGTTTAGTCAAATAATACCCATCTCTCAATAACATGGTACAAATTTCAATTATTATATATTCATTGTAAATAATTGCATAAAATACAATCTTTGCTGCTAGCTTAACAGTTCAAAAATCACTACATAAATAATAGACATACATCTTGATCAATGACCAAACACATCACTTCTTTTAATGTCTGTTGGTAATTTGTCACTGTGTATCTCTTACTCACTTTATGCAGAGACAACAAAGTGTGTACTTGTGTTGTCTCCTTGTCTCCCAATGATAAACCCACAAAAAATGGATAATCTAAAGAGAAAATTGACCAAAAAAGTTAAAAGTACAACAAAGAAACAAAAAGTGATACTATAAATGGAGTTACAGAAGAAATAGCTGATGATGAAAATATATACTACTACTGTGTAAAAGACTATACATAGAGAAAGGGATTTAGTGCAGGTGAACTTATCAATATAAATGATGACAGTGATGGTAATAAAAAGGATGAAGATGTCCGTGAGGACATGATGATGCCATAAAACTTTTCATTAAAGAAACTCTTGGAAACATTTTACAGTATTAAAAATGAAGAGGACAAAACATTGGAAGTAAATTCAAATTTAGAAAGGATTATGGCAATTTGCCAAGGCAAGAAAGAATGCTCACTCTGTATTTTAAGTTAAATGACAAGAAAGATACAAACCCTATTCAAACTACTTGTGATTAGTTTTCATCAAGAAATAAAATACTTAAATTCTCCATGTTTCTAATGTTTAGACTTACAGGATACTAAATCAGTATTAGTTTTATTATTTTTCATTTCCCTATAGAGTTATAAAAGAAAGTAAGAGATTTTAATGTTTTGATACAAAATTTAAAGTTCACAGAACCAACCATAATTTTCCCCATTGATTAGCAAGGTCACTTTGCACAGTTTCAGCTTAAAGGGTCATTTTCATGGTCCTGTACAACTGTGCAAAATGATGACTGCCTGCATTTGATTGAGAAAACAATTAAAATAGAAGAGATAAACAGAAATAAGGACAGCACATATGAGAGTCAAGTTTGAAGGATGATAGGTCAGACAGAGAAGGAAATGATGGGGTTGGATCTCACACAAAAAGATACTTCCTGTGGCAAAAGCTTGAAGAAATAAAAGCATGACTACTCAAATTCACTACAAAGTTAATAAAATACAACCTGATAGTCCCATTGGTGAAAAGAGCACTGGTTTAGGAGCCATGCTCTTCCTCCACTGTTTATAGAATGTGTGATCTTAAAAACCCGAAACTCTGAAAATGGAGCAGATACCTGCCCTAATTATTTCAAAGAGGTGTGAAGATAAAATTGATATAATTATGCAAAGTGTTAAAATCTGGAGAATTCAAAATTAGGTTTATGACAATTCTTTCTAGTTGCTTCTTCTTCTACTGCTTGTAGTGAAGCAGATGACATTTACACACTCCTTCTGTGCATTAGCAGTGTGATACTTTTGTGCACCAGTTTGGTCCAAGTTTTTGTAAATGTCTTAAGATACCCAAAGAGTGGTAAATTGGGAGATATTAATAGTACTGGGAGAAACATAGTGGGTTATATCAACAGAAGTTATCCTCTCACCTTAATTTGTGGATAGTATAGTTAATGAAAAGAGGAGATGGCCTATGGGTTAGGGAGAAGATAGTTATGAATCTCTAACTGTACCTTGCATATATCCACTGATATTTCCAGAGGATTGAGGCTAAAAGGGTAGTATTAACTAATATCCTATAACATGCACAGATTTCTTTTTTAACCCATTATCACTGGAGGAAACTCTCTCATGCTTAATCTGCTTTTTCAGGTACCGTATTTTTCAGGCTATAAGACACACCCCCCCCAAATCCAGGAGGAAAAGGGGAGTGTGTCTTATAGTCCAAATGTAGTTTACCTGACTCACTGTGTGTGTGTGTGGGGGGGGGGACAGTAGTGGAGTGGGGTCACAAGTTATTAAATAGTTCACATTTTTTTGCTTCAAAATTTTTTTTCCTATTTTCCCCCTCTAAAACCTAGGTGCATCTTATGGTTTGGTGTATCTTATAGTCCTAAAAATATGCTATGCTTACAATTTTTTATTAGCATATCATTATGACCTGGGAAGTCAGATGAACTATACAGTAACGTAAATTTTGTTGGAGCAACAGCTGTTGGCTCAAAGATGATCACGTAGTAACTAAAATATTACTTTAATTGGGAATTATTTTTTCCATTTCAGAAGAATTCCAATATATAAAAAAGATATTAAAATATTTAACACCTGTTTTCCCCCCATCAATTAAGATGGGGTTTCCAAGTGGAAGAATGTGATGGTCTCTAAATTAGTAAAGTAACAGAAAATTGATAAATTTCTATTGCTTCAATTTGTTCTAAATTCAGCCAATATATATGGACTATAGTTCTATGTGGCAGAAAGGAAAAATATACCGATAATTTGTATAGCCAAAAAGGAAAATTTAGAGCCACAGAATTCTGTTTGGAAGTGAACCATCCATAGAACATTCCCTGACCATCCTTTATTTAATTGAAAACCATCCATATTCACTGCTCAGAGAAATCAATATTTCTTTTGTGTCATTCACTATTACAAAAAATATTTATTAATATTTTTATTTACAAAATATTTATTACAAAAAAATATTTATTAATCCCATTAACCTGATGATACACTATTAACGTCTTAAGCATGTTCCCAGGCTTTTTAAATGCAGTATTATCACTCACAATTAAACTCACAATTAAAAAACTGGATCAAACATACATGTGGAATTACAATACTCATTTTATAATAGCTTCTTATGAACATATTTCCATATAAGAATAGAGCTACATTATCTATTTCAATAGCTGCAAAGCAACACATAATTTATTTCACCAGCTGGAATGATTTACATTTGACTGCCCCGATTTTTAAATGTTATAAACAATACTAAAGTGAACATCCTTGTATATCTTTTGTTCTCTAGTCCAAGTGTTTCATTAGAGACCTTTACTAAAAGTAGAACTGTCAGGTCAAAGGAAATATATTTGACTTTAATAAGTTTTAGTTTAAATTTTTGTTTTTAGCAAAGTCAAACATCACAAAGTTTAAAGCACAGGTGGCAAACACAAGGCCTGAGGGCTGATTGCGGCCCTCCGCCTTGTTTATCCAGCCTGGCACCTTGTTTCTACCTGGTGGCAGCGCCAAGCTCTGACTTAACTGTTAAGGAGCTGTTACATTTATACAGTCCTAAAATTACATTCGGTCCTTTGAAAGCAACCTTGAGGCTGATGTGGCCCCCAATGAAAATGAATTTGACATCCCTGGTTTAAAGAGTTAACTAGGTCTATAAAATTAAGACCAGAAATCATTTCTTGTGTTCTACCCTACCATTTCTCCCTCTTGAGTCAACTTCTTTCAGCATTTTAGCTGTATCATTTGTATCTCTACATCATAGTATGTAGTATCTCTACATAGCACCCCTATTTTTCCTTTAGTTTTCTATTTTAGACATATCTAACTTCCTGCCTGATGAGAATTTAGCAATCTTTCATTGCTTCATCTGCAGCCCCAAACACATACATATTTCTCATTAAATATATATTAAATAAATAATGTTGGATTATTTCCCCCATCTTTGTCCCCATCCTTCATATGCATAATAGGTTCAAAAGTCATTTTATACATTATATCCATGGATATACAATACCCTTTAAAAGAGGACACTGGATCCAAACTGGATCTCTGCTTGGTTTCTTTCCCAGGAGTCTGTAATTTATACAAGCTTAATCACAAGCTAAATTACACAAGCTAAATGGGTGCTGAGCTAGTAATATGTAAATGTGGAAGTTACTAGCAGTCATATCTACATGGACTGAGAAAGAAAACAGTAGTAGCTATACAATTTTTATTTAGCAGAGATTTAGGAGTCATAATTATATCTGAAGGTAGAGTGTATCTGGTACTGATGTTACAGGATTTGACCTGAAGCTACAGCTAATTACACTGTTTTTATTCAAACTAATGTATTTAGAGTAGCTTGAGAGATGAGGCCAATTCAATGTACAAAAGGGTTTGTACTGAGAGAGAAGAATGGAACATTCACACACAAAAAAATTAGAGATAAAAAACAGTGACAGATGAGTTCTTTCTAGAGATCTGACTATATTCCTGTCCTTGGGTTTTGTGAGATACTTATATATAGCTACATGATATTTTTTTTCTTGATGGAGCAGTAAGAACTATTTATTTTATTAACCTGAATCCCTGAATATTTACCTTTTAATATGCGACAAAATGAAAATTGCAAATAAAACATTTTTGCTACAAACTGAATTATGATGGTTTTCTAAGAGAAAGCTGTATTTATGCTTAAACCAGGGATATTCCACAAGTAAATACCCTGTTATTTGTACCCAACAAAGTCCTTAAAAACCAAAACCATATAACATCCTTAATTAATTTTGGCTGTACTCTTCAAACCAACTTTGAGGTTGCTGAAAAGCACCAAAAAAAGGGGCACATCTGGCCTCTTTCTCTTAGGCTGCTGATTTATATACATTTCCAAGGAGCAGGGAGATAGTTAAATGATAAAGGCTGATGACTAAAAAGTCCTTGAAGAACATTTAGGTAAAGTAGGCAACAACACAAATGGAAATGTGCTACACATCAGAGCAATAAAGATATGGCAGCAATAATTAAGAGTTGTCTTTATGAAGGTTCATGAGTGCTGAAGCTGAATGGGTACCTAAACTGTTTTCTCTATTTCTGTTTAGAATGTTCAAAACAAAAAGTTAAAAAAATTGTCCTTGGAGGGAAAAAATAATCACTGGTACTATTTCTATTTAAAGAAAAACTTTTTTAAACATCAGAAGGCAAATAGAATGTAAGTAAACAATTCTAAATGAAAAATTAGCAAACAAAATAGCAAAATGAATAAAAGATATATCTGTCTACATCTTGCTGTTTAAAGGGTTATGCTGTTAGAATCTATTAACACTTTATAAGCACAAAGTCATAAATAGCTTTTTTGTAAAAACAAGGATTTTAAAAACTCTTATAGACAGAATGAAAACTAACTTCTTAGCAATTTAAATATTCAGCCAACAGCATTAAATACTTGACATATTAAAATAAATGATTTAGTTATTTCCTTTATTTATTAAACTAATAAAAATAAAATAAGTACACATTCTTGAAAATAGGATTTACTTGCAAGATTTAGATAACTCACAGGTGTTCCTGGTGCTACTCGGGACACAATCACAGGCATCTTCTGATCATATCCTCCCTTAAAAACACAGTAAATCAAATATTACTCAAATATTAGCAAAATAGACACATCTTAATTTATAAATTGAGTACAATATAAAATTTAGATTACCTTTACATTGAATCCAAATCTTCCATTTTCATCAGGCTTCATTCTGATTAGAACAAGGTTATCGTGTGGAATACCACCATTAGGCTTAAAAATACAAAAATAAATAACTTGTAATTTTCTTCATTTATAATCTATCCTTTGTATTCACATCAAGGATGCTTTTTGTATGCTGATATTAAATAGTATATAAAAATTATAATTTAAATTAAAATGTTAACTCAGAAAAGTAAATTTTAAATAACAGGACTTAATGAATGGCATGTTACCACAACTAGATATATTATCTCATGCCTCTATGTTACTGCATGCTAGACTGTAAGTGCCAAGTGGAACAGAAGTTTTACCAATTCGTTTTAACTCATTACTCACAATATCTCTATAATCTTGCTTAAAAGCTTTATATGTAGTAAGTGTTCATAAGTGTTACTCCCTCAGCTTTCTAGAAACAGCTTTATTGCATATAATTCACATACTATATACTTTACCCAATCAAGGTGAATAATTAAATAATTTTTACTGTAGTGAAAGAATCATACAAACATCACTATTATTTAATTTTAGAATATTTTTGAACTTCCAGCCAAGATGGAGGTGTAGGTAGATACACACTGCACAACCAAAAAAAAGGACAACAAATTTAAAAACAAAAAATAACCAGGACTGCCACAAAGTTGAGTTGTATGAAGTTCAAGACAACTGAGGATTTGCAGAAGAAATGTTCATCCCAACTGGCAGGAGTGGTGGAGATGGGCATCCGGGTGGGGAGGATTCATGGCAAGGCAGCTGCTGGAGGACCAGACTCAGCAAGGTGGCCTCTGACATAGTGGGTGGTCCCACATTTGTTTGCAGATAAACTGGGTGGAACAACTGGGGAGCAAGATAGACCATGCAACCCAGGGATCCAGTGCAGGGAAATAAAGCCTCAAACCTCTGACTGAAAAAACTTGTAGGGTTTGAGGCAGCAGGAAAAACTCCCAGCCTCACAGGAGTTCTTTGGAGATACACACAGGGTCCTACAATGGACACAAACCCACCCACCTGGGAATCAACACCAGAAGGGCCCAATTTGCTTGTGGGTAGTGGAGGAAGTGACTGAAAGCCCTTGGAGAACTAAGCAAGCAGTACTGATCCCTCTCGGACTCTTCCCCCATATACAGCATCACACCACAGCCAACTGGGTTGCCCCAACCTGGCAAATACCTAAGGCTCTACCCCTTACTATATAACAGGCATGCTGAGACAAAAAAAAAATATGGCCCAAATGAAAGAACAGATCAAAGCTCCAGAACAAATACAACTAAGTGATGAAGAGAGAGTCAACCTATCAGATGCACAGTTCAAAACACTGGTAATCAGGATGCTCACAGAAATGGTTGAGTATGGTTGCAAAATAGAAGAAAAAGTGAAGGCTATGAAAAGTGAAATAAAGGAAAATGTACAGAGAACCAACAGTGAAGGGAAGGAAACTGGGACTCAAATCAATGGTTTGTAACAGAAGAAAGAAATAAATATTCAAGCAGAACAGAAGGAAGAAACAAGAATTTAAGAAAATGAGGAGAGGCTCAGAGACCTCAGGGACAACTTTAAATGTCCCAACATCTGAGTCATAGGGGTGCCAGAAGGAGAAGAGGAAGAGCAAGAAACCGAAAACTTATTTGAAAACATAATGAAGAAGTTCTCTAATCTGGCAGAGGAAATAGACTTCCAGGAAGTCCAGGAAGCTCAGAGAGTCCCAAAGAAACTGGACCCAAGGAAGCATGCATCATGGCACATCATAATTACATTACCTAAGATGAAAGTAAGGAGAGAATTTAAGTAAAAGCAGCAAGAGGAAGGGAGGCAGTTACCTACAAAGGAGTTCCCATACGACTCTCAGCTGATTTCTCAAAAGAAGCCTTGCAGGCAAGAAAGGGCTGGAAAGAGGTATTCAAAGTCAGGAAAGGCAAGGACCTACATCCAAGATTACTCTATCCAGCAAAGCTATCATTTAGAATGGGAGGGCAGATAAAGTGTTTCCCAGATAAGGTCAAGTTAAAGGAGTTCATCATCACCCAGCCCTTATTATATGAAATATTAAAGGGACTTATTTAAGGAAAAGATGATAAAAAATATGAACAGTAAAATGACAACAAACTCACAACTATCAACAACCAAACCTAAGAAAACAAAGACAAAAATGAACTAGCAAACAACTAGAACAGGAACAGAATCAGAGAAATGGAGATCACATGGAGGGTTATCAGCAGGAAAGGGGAGGAGGCAAATGGGGGAAAAGATACGGGGAATAAGAAGCATAAATGGTAGATATAAAACAGAAAGGGGGAGGTTAACAACTATGGGAAATGTAGAAGGCAAAGAACTTGTATATATGACCCATGGACATGAATGAAGGTGGGGGAATGCTGGTGGGAGGGGAGGTGCAGGATGAAGGGGAATAAAGCAGAGAAAAAAATGGGACAACTGTAATAGCAAAATCAATAAAATATATTAAAATAAAAAAAATATTTTTGGTACTCCCAGAAGAAATCTTGTATTTATCAGCAGTCATTCCCTAACCCCTCGCCCATTTCCTAAGTCTACTGAACCACAAATCTATATTGTTTTTATATATTTGATTATTCTAGACATTTCACATATATAAAGTTATATAATACATGGTTATTTGTTACTGCCTTCTTTCACTTACCATGTCTTATGCCTGCTCTTTGAGAGTATCTGGCTAATTCTTACCTATCTCTCAAGACACACCTCAGAGCTGATTACTTCTGGGAAGGCTTTCCTTAATTCCATAGATGGGTAAGTTATTTTAATACACTTGTGAATTCCCTATAATCACTTCTAATTACAGAACCTATACTGCCTTCAAATTGTCTTCCAACTTTCTTGGTATAGATCCCATCCCCTCTTTCATACTCAAGAGTATTGCTATAGCAATTCTCTACTCTCCTGCATTATCCATTTCCCTCTCCTCTGGGAAACATTCTTATTTCTCCCTTTAAAACAAACACACACACACCCCTCTTCTCTGGACTCCATTTCCCCATCCAGCTACTGGCCCATTTCTCTCCTTCTTGCTACTAAACTTCTTGAAAGAGGTGTTCACATTTCCTGTCCCTCTTAAACTGTCCTCTTGGAGTCAGGTTTTTACCCCTACACTCCATGAAAAGTTTTCCAATTATGGTCACCAAAGGTTTTCACATTGCTCCAGTGTTCAATTCTCAGTCCGCATCTTACTTGATTTACTAGTAGCATTTGACAAGTTGATTATTTTCTCTGTGACTTTCTTCCCATCAGTCAGTTGGCTACCTTTCTATCTGCATCTCCTAAGTCTCAGATGCTGGTTCTTTCACCTCCCTCATGTTTACAATTTAGAGGACTAAAGGCTCAATTTCTAGAATCTCTTATTTAGAAATCTACACACAACACACTTCCTTGGTGATTTCTTCCTATGTCATGGTATAACATATGGTACTGTCTATATGCCATCAGCTCTCAGTCATAACTCTAGCTTGGTCCTCTCCCTTCAACTCCAGAGTCATATCTCTGAATGGATTTTTAACAGACATCTCAAACTTAACATGTCCCAAACTGAACTCCTGATTTTCTACCCATACCCACTCCACCTGTATCTTTTCACATCTTCTATACCTGCTCTATCTGTAGCCTTTTACATCTTAGCAAATGGCAACTTCACCCCTCCAGTGGTTCAGGGCAAAAACCTTGTTGTTATCCTTGATTTCTTCTCTAGCACGCCTCATCTTATCTATTAGCATATTATGTCAGCTTTACTCTAAAAATATACCCAGAACAAAGTTGTGTCTTATTCCTTCTGTGGCTACTCCTGGCAAATCACCATTGATTACTTGGAATATTTCAATACATCATAAGTATCTCTCCTACCCTGCTCTCAGTTTATTAAATAGAACAGCCAGAGTGATAATGTCAAAATGTAAGTGACATTATGTTACTTCTCTCCTCAGATTTGTATTTGCTTCCTATCTCACTCAGGGTTAAAAAACAAAAACAAAGTCTCTGTTAAGACAAAGCTTTTAGAATCTGACCCTCTCCTGTACCTGTCTCCTCCTCATTTGCTCATTTTGCTCTAGCTGCACTGAATCCCTTTGTGTTCCCTGACTGTATCAGTCATACTCCTATCTTTGTACCTATTATTTCCTCAGCCTATCTGTATGACTTATCACTAAGTTCATCCCTTGCTATACTATCTAATATGCTATATACTTAAATTACCACCTTGTTTATTGTTTATCTCACCCCTTCCCCAAAATGTAAGTTCCTTGTAGGGAGAGGTTTGTTTTTTTATTTTATTCCATTAAATCCCCAAAGCCAATAACAATCATGGCAATGGCAGGTACTCAAGTAATTTCTTCATGAATTAAAAAGCAAACTGTACTATATATTATTTTTCCTCTGCCTTCTCTCCCTTCCCTTCCTCTCCCCTTCCCTTCCCTTTCTTTTCTTTCCTTTTATTGATATCAGAGAAAGGAGAAGGGAGGGAGAAAGAGAGAGAGAGAGAGAGAGAGAGAGAGAGAGAGAGAGAGAGAGGGAAATATTGATGTTGCACATGTCCTGACTGGGGAACAGAACGTACAATTCAGGCGTGAGTCCTGATCAGGAATGGAACCCGTGACTTTTTGGTTTGCAGAAGGATGCCCAACCCACTTAGCCACACTGGCCAGGGCTACACAGTAGATTATTTAGCAGCAGGGACCATGTCTCATTTGTTTCAATAGTCCTACTTCCCACCAAAGTACCTTAGCACACAGAAAAACCTCAATAACTATGAACCCATGAATAAATGAATGATACAAAAGAATCACCATGGAAGAAACACTGAGGTTGCCATTTTTTGTAAGGATTCTGCTCTCTTTTTGATGTGTCTATGGTGGTGGAGCAGTAAGTGTGGGAGAATAGAGTGGCTACCTCTTGCCTTTTCACTTTAGTTAATGTGGGAGGGTCACAGGTAGAAAAATGAAAGAGCTACATGTGTAATGGCCACCAGAAAGTTCTGGCACTGTCAATACCTGCTGTGGACTCTTCTCTCCCTGCATCTTATTTTATTCCCTGATGTTCCTGTAAGTTTCCTGAAACATACCCATATTTTGTCTGACCTTATCTTTCTTCATGAACACAATGTATCCTTAAACTTTACTGACAATCTCACTTTTGGTTTACTTGCCTCTATTTGAAAAAAGCAAAAAAAAATTGTAAATGAGGGGATTATAACAATTTGCCATTTGTTGTGGTAAAAGTATGTTTTCTAAGGCAGAAGTGCCAATATAATTCGTAAATATAGTCTGTAGAACAGAGACCTATACTCAATTTCAAAAGGTTGATAAGAATGATAGTCTCTGTATTCAGTGAATTAAAATGAAGTTAATGGTATTTAATGGATTATTAGTATTTGTTCTAAAAATGTGTTCTATAAGACTGAACTCAACATGAATTTGTTAATAATTTACTTCTAAAGAAAGGCACAATTTTATAAATGACGATACAAGGAAATTCCAGTTAAGTTATATCATGGTACAATTCATGTGCAAACATAAGATGAAAAAGAGAAAATAGTACAATATAATTTACAGATAAAACATGCTACTGTACAAAAAAAGTTCATTTATGGTTTAAAAATTTCAAAGAAATATGAGAATATATGAAGCTACTTACAGTAGATTTTTCAGGGGAAGATAGAACATCAAATGCTTCATTAATATGGTTTTCCAGATCTTGTTGAGAATGTGAATAATGAATTTGGTTCCAACTGCTTTTCTTTGATTGTTTGGGTGGTAAAGCTGGAGGCTGCTCATCTCCAGGGGCCTCTTGTGATCTAGATAGGAAAAAAGGAAGAGAATGAATATTTTGGAAGTTGTCTTATAGAACTCTATTTTAAAAGCTAGAGTCAGGCAACTCAGACATTTATAATGTATAGTAGGAGATAAGCATTTAATACCATATTGATTTGCAAATGCCACTGTTTAATGAAATCTTTTCTAAATTTAAGGTTTAAATAGCAAATCCAATTTCCTACTTTATGAAATCTTTAAACAATTCTACATATAATATACTTTAAGAGTGTCCATAGGGAGATATTTATTAATCTACTATAACAGTGTACACACCTCTCCAAAAAATGTTTTAAAGGTTTTCAGTGCAGTCATATGGATAGCTGGGGAACAAGGCAGGCAAAGAGAAATTAGACCTGAGAGTTGAGCCATTTCACAGGTAAAATGACAGGTAGTCAAGAAGTTGTGATTGGCCTGATTTATTTAAAAATAAAATATGATCCATGAAAGTAATGAACTCAGTGCTATAACAAGGATTAGAATCTGAGTAAGAATGCTGAGATGACTGAAGAGACAAAACTGAATGAGACATTATCAAAGTATACAATTTAAAGTGAGAAAGAAAAGCCCAAATTAACATTAGAAAATATAAGCCTCAAACTGTGACAGCAGGTATTGATAAAAAGAGCTAAGTATAATAGGGAAGTTTCAAGGTAAAAATCATAACTTTTAAGAATAGAGAATAGACTAATAGTTGCCAGAGAGGAAAGGGTTGGAAGGTGAATGGATTAAGGAGTACAAATTGGTAGTTACAAAATAGTCAGTGGGATGTAAAGTACACCATAAGGAATATAGTCAATAATATTGTAATAACTATGTATTGTGCCAGGTAGGTACTGAAAGTATTGGAGACTGCACTTTGTAAAATATATTTGTCTAACTATTATGCTGTACACCTGAACTAACAGAAAATAATATTGGATGTAAATTGTAATAGAAAACTAAACTAAACTAAGTAAACAAACAAACAAACAAACAAGCACAGTATATGTTAATATTAGTTGTGAGTTTTTCACAAAGACCAGAAGGGAGAACAGAACCAGTGGTTCCACCTGTATGCTAGAAGGCACACATTCATGAAGTTGTGAAGTTGAGGAGAACAGGCAAGGGGAAAATGGTTCTTGAGAAGAGCACTGACCATCACTTGGGTTATTATTTATCTCTGAGATGGCAGGTCCTTTTGGGGACCTGTTCAAAAATTATTCTTCTCTACCCCTTCCCATTTGACATTAGGCTTGGCCACTAAAATAGCCAATAAAATGAGAATTGAAGTGGTATGCTTCTACTTTTGAAAAAGGAAGCTCTAAGAAATAGCTCTGGAATCACTATTCTCCTCTCTTTCCTCAGCCATGATCAGCCATGTTCCAAAAAGGGGCTGGTGTTAGTCTGGGTCCTGGGATGAACATGGAGTCAAGCCACAGCTGATTCATGATTTATATATAATGTAAGAAAGAAATAACCTTTGTTGTTAGTAACTGTAAATTGGGGTGATGTGCTACCACAGCATAATTTAGCTCAAAATAACTAATACAGAGATTACTGCCATAGTGGTCCTTAGACACATATGCTCTCACTTGGTAGAGAAGCTATGAACTTATTTAGAGGCTCGCTGCTAGATACCTGGTAGATATTGGTAGTGAGCTAAAAATGTGATTAGTGCCAAGGAAGTCAGACAGGATTAATAATGAATGGTGTAACTTGATGGTCCTCCAGGAAGGTTTCTCCTAATGAGAATGTAGTCCTTCTGAAATTTTATAAACTAGTATAAAAATAATCATTTAATAAGGATTAAATAAGAATGCCCACACAGTCTATTTTTGTACATAGTAGTCTGAAGAACATAAAATGCTCTAAATTCTGATAAGCCTATTAAGACTGCTTCAGAGAACATATCTCTCCTTTTCGGCAAAGGCTTCTTTGAGGTCTACTTTAATAGCCAGGGATTCCAGATACCAAACATACTCGTTTTTATTCCATTAGTTTCAACTGCCAAGAACCCATGCCTCTAAGATTCAATACAATCAAACGCTGACGGTCTGGGAAAATGTTTTTACATGGATTTCAACACAGACATGAATCTCAACCATGCCCTGCCACAAGAGATGAAGATGGATAGCCCTTGGCAGAGACTCAAAGATGTGACATTTCAATTAAAAGCCTCTAAGACTTCACAAAAACCAGAAGTCTGTGGACTCCACATATTTCAATCAGTAAGTCTCATTCCTTACTTAGGCAAAGTGAATAGAAACTTTTTCTAGCTTTGCATACAGTTGTTACACCCAGGAAGCATTTAGCTTCAAACGAAAGGTCTGTAGGAAAGAGTATAAAGGCTGAGATCAGATCAGAATGGAGTCAGAGCAGCCTTCTTTCTTCTTGGTCCAGTAACAGTCTAAATACAGTGCCAAAAATAAACAGGGACAAAATGATGCCTGACCTGCAGTGCAACATCGAAGTGAGCTAAACTTGGTGGATATTGGTATAACTACGGCAATGCTTAGTTCCAAGAGAGGGACAGCACTGACATTATGGGATGTTTTGCTAAAACTGTTGAATCTGCATTTCTGGAGTGAGAGATAAAGCATTTATGGCCAAAAACAACAACTACAACAGTAACCTCCCAAAGGGACTTTTATTATGTAATTCTGATTAGAAATCACTGTGATAGAACAACGAATGCAAATTCATGGTTTGTGGGACAACTCTGGCCAAAATACAATTGGCCCATTCATTGTTTTTGTAAATGTGAGTTAACTGATGACATTAAAATTATATACAAATCTGTATTTCCAGAATAAAAAATTTGGGGAGTTCTGGAAAGAATGGACCTGAATTACAAGTTGTCAACCACTGGACAAAGATGAATGGTCGCTGCTGCCTTTAAGTGCCATAAGCATTCTGGTCCACATAAATCCTACCTCGTGTTACTCATCAGACTCCAGTGAGTATAAGCTCTCCTTTAAACATTCATAGCCACAGGAAGACACAGATAGGAAGACAGCCCAAGCATACAGGCTTGCGTTGCCATTTAAGCCAAATCCTAAAGAAAAGGTAAAAAGAATGGAGTCTAGACAGAGGATCAGCCAAGATGTAACAGGAAAGGAGAATATTATTTTGGATTTCAGGTCAGGGGTTATCTACTTTCCTTCACTGTTTTATGTAACCTTTTTGTTAAAGTAACTTCTCAGAATATAGTGGACAGGTTCTCCACATGCCTGATTGCTATTAGGGCTAGGTCGTTCTGGGAAGGTTCTACAACCTATTTACGTGCTTTCCCAGTAATCCCAGTAACTGTTTTCCCTTTCTACATTTCTAACTTCAATAACCAAACCATCTCTCTCTACCTACCCTCTGACCTATATACCTACTTACTTACCTACCTAACATACAATCTCTAAAAATAATCAAGGACATGAAAAAAAGATGGCAGCAGAGTGGAAGGATATATTGTGTACCTCCTCTTAGAACCAAATTGGAAATAAAACTAAAGAAAGGACTAGACACCTGAAATAAACCAAAGACTACCTGAAAAGAGGCTTTTAACCAAGGGCAGGAATAAACAAAAAAGAATACCATGACCAATAGGAAGGGTGAAGTCATTAAAGCAGCCAACCCCAGTCACATGAGCAGCTGGCTAAAGCAGCCACATGGCTGTCTCTCCTTGAAAGGAGAGAAGTGGGGGACAGGTCATGTTCCCAAATACAGAGGGCCAATGTCAGAATCAGCAGACCATGTAGCACACAGTGGTGAAAGGCTGTGGGGTTTGTCTCACCTGGGGAGAGATGAGGCCCACTGGAAATAAAGCCACTATTTTTCCCCCCTTTCTTAATTCTTAAAGGGGAAAGGGGCCAAAGCATAGGTCTGAAGTTCGCAACTACCTGGGCCCCAGTGAAGGGGGAGTGGTGCAGATTGCAGTCTCATGAGAAGAGTCTAGTGTGGGAAGCACTGGGGAGCGACATTGGGAAGCAGATGTGGAGCTTTCTGTGCTGGAATGTACCTGGATTCCACAGTAGCCATCATGCTTGAGAGGAGCAAGCCCTTCCCAGGAAAAAAGCAATTACCTTACCCCTAGCAATCCTGGTTGTTCCACCCTGCATCTTCCCCACCCCACTTTTTATGTAGTTTGTTTTGTGTGTTTTTTTCTTTTCTCCTTTTATTCTTTCTTGTCTCCCATCCTGTATTTTAACCCCTGCTGAGGAGACAGCAGCATATGCAGGCTCAGGGGGTGTCAAGAGACCAGCTGTAGGGCACGGCCATACCATAAACTCTCCTGGGAAACAGACTGGCACTTCTTTCTCACTGGGAGCCACAGAAAAACCCTCCCAGTTTCCTGCAATGCAAAACCTGGTCTGTGGAGGCCCCATCCAATATTCTACTGGGGACCCCACTCTGCTGAGTACAGGGACATAATATCTGAACAGACTCAGACCAGTGGCTCAGGGTAGGGGGAACAACTAACCATCTTCCCTGGAATCTGAAAGGCACCTGCCACGGAAGGTCCAGGAGTCCCATCCTCTCAATCCCACCAGAAGCCCTCTCAGAAACAGTTGGGTTTATAACTAGGCTAAGGCTGACAACAGGCCGGCAGGCAGAGGAAGGCAGAGGCAGAGAGAGGTGAATCTGGTGGTAATTTGGGTTGTTTGCCTACAGACCCCTGGACCTAGTGCTGTTAAAACCCAGATGTGCAGAACAGCTTGGCCCATCCTGGGTAGAGCCAAGCTTGGAGGAAATCAGCCACAAGCTGTGGATTGCTGGTAGCTCCAAACAGGCTGCGGAGGGCTGGAAGAGGACAGCACCTGACACTAGCGTACACCAGCCAGCCTCAGACTACAGGAGAGACATATCCATAGGGAGAGTCCAGCTGGTAAGCATTAAACTTCTGAGATGAATTCCACTTTGTTCTTTTTCATTGTTTCTTCTTTTTTTAGAATCAGGGAACAGACTAAGAGCTGTAAGAGGGAAAGAGAATGGGGGGACTGATTGAAGGAAGGTGAAGGGATTAGTCAAAGAACATATATGAAGGAGCTATGAACTTGGACAAGGGTGAGGGGGCTGATTATGGAAGTGGGGGGAAGGCTGGGTTGAGGTGACCAAAGGGGGGAAAAGTAGGACAACTGTAATAGTATAAACAATAAAGCATTTAAAAAATAAAATGAAAAAAAAAAAAAGTAATCAAAGATGTCAACACAGGCTGCTGAAATTCGTATTTTGGGTAAAGGCTATCAATCACATTGTAAAGACATACTTTGAAAGTATTAACTCAATTTATTGTAATAAATGATAATTTCCTTCTACATATCTAAGGTAGAGCTGTCATATAAAGTCAATCTATTACTTACTCAAAGAATATTTAGGAAGATGACTTTCACAGGTAAACCATGCATTATAATTAGAAATTATAATACATTTAAATAATGTCATGAAACAGGCCAGTTCTAATAAAATATACTATTTCTAGGCTACAAAACAAAAATAAAAACTCCACCCTAAACTCAAAAGCAAAATGAAACAAGCAAAAAAACAACTGCTAAGTATAACAGAATGAAGATATATATAACATCATATACATGGGAAGAACAATGAAGTAGCATAGTAGAAGACAGCCCCATCAGAAATAACAGTTGATATCCTGAAAGAAGGGACGTATATCTTAATGAGAAGCCAGCACCCACTATCAGGCATTTTGGACAGGTCTAGAGAAATAGAAACCACAACCCTCTGTAAAAATAAATAAATAAAATCTTTAAAAAGCATACAGATAAAATTCTGGTTCAAAATTCAGGCTTCTCAATATTTTGGCTAATTTGTAACAACATTAAGAGTATTTCAAAGTAAACACCATTTCAGACAAATTGCAAGGTAATGCTCAATGTGATTAAAAAAGTGTGTATAGACGCTCAGGGATGTGATTAACATAAGAATAGAGTTGAAATATCCCATTATTGTATTTATAGGAATCTATTTCAGAATTGAGGTCCCAGACCTGAGATTCTGGGGTTCAACCAAATTCCAAGTCCCTCATCTTAGCTGCCAAATGCAAGTAATGGAGACTTTTGCCAGAGACAGAGGGTAGGTAAGTTCAGTGCAGCTAGAGCAGCCTGGGGACCTGCACTTAGTCTTATCACAAGTACAACAGATAAGACTGTACATCCTCTGAGTTCCTGAGGCTTGATACTTTTATCTGTACCCTCTTTGGTTTTTTTATTTCCTTGTCCTAAGGCAGCCAAGCACTATTAGCAGGTCTATATAAGATTAGCAGGGAAACTGGGTTAAGTGGAGTCTAGTGATGAAGTTATCTATGCCAGTAACTCAGAAGGGCAGAGGGAAGGCACATCTTTGAGGACTAAGTTAACAAACTGTTATACAAACAAAGCTGTGGTGACTCATTAGATAAGACTAGAATGAGACAGGCCAGGAAAAAAATGACTCAGGGAAATGGATTAAACACTGGAGGATTATGAAGTCTGCATAGAGTTTGTCACCATTAGGGACCCAAGGACAAAGTGGAGATTTGGGGAATTTCTCATTGTGTTCCATCAGATACCCCATAGTTCAAACATGCAGTCAGATGAATGGTTGATAAATACTTATAAGCTGCCAATATAAATCCTCCCAAAAGTTAACTGAAAAAGTTATATAGTTATTATAGTTAATATCTACTAAGCATTTTCTCTCTGCTGAACTATGCATCTCATTAAATGTTCACAGCAATTCTATGAGGTAGATATTATCATCCTGTTTTTACAGTAGAGGAAATTGAGGCTTACAGAAGTAAAATAATTCACTCAAGGTCACCAAGTCAATTGGTGAAACCAAGTTTTAAACTCAGTCTGAATTCAGAGCCTGAAACTCGATGTTATAGTTGTACCTCAAAGGAAACAAAAAGCAGGAGCAAAGTTATTTTATTTAAAATTTTTAAAAATTAAATTAGCTCTAGTTATATTGGTTAATAAGATCATATAGGTTTCAGGTGTACATTTCTATGATACATGATCTGTACAGTGCATTGTGTGCCACCATCCAAAGTCAATCATCTTCTGCCACCATATATTTGGTGTACTTTACCCTTTACAACCCTCCACCTTCTTCCTTCTGGTAATTGCTATACTGTTATGTGTTTATGAGTTTCAGTTTTACAAGCAAAGTTATTTTAAACCAGGAGTTTCCAAACTTTTTGTAGCAGTGAACTCTTTTCAAATAAAATGTTTCAAATAAAAAGTCAATTTATACAATAGACAAAAGCTGAGCAACTCTCTTACCTATCAGTATCTGAAGCTTCAATAGAATTCCATCATCCCATTTTGGTTATAAGTGGTAATACTGTTATACTTCATATTCTAATAAAAACTACTTATATTTAAATGAACAGAATGTAAGATCAATAGAGACTGGGGCTCTAATAGCATCTATGTTTATTTTAATGAATAACATATTTCTAATTCAATGACTTTTAACATATTTAAAACCAACAATTTGCCTAAAATAATCCAAAGAGGGGATGGGAACCAGGGCTCAAAACACAGTGTTCAAATTTTACCCACATCAAAAAATTTTGTGGACAAATTACTATCTGTGTTAACTTTTGGATGCTTAAAAAGAGAAAGGGAGAAGATGGGAATATATAGCTGACTCTTGATCAATGTGAAGGGGTTAGGGCACTGACCCCTACACAGCTGAAAATCCACATATAACTTTTGACTCCGCCAAAGTGCAACTGTCTCTTGGTACCTGCAGGGGAATTGTTCCAGGACCCCTATGAATACCAAAATTCACAAATATTCAAGTCCCTTATGAAAAACAGTGTAGGAGCAAAGAACAATACCTTTCATATCTGCAGACTCCCCCCATCAAAAATACTGTTTTCAGTATGGATCTCTAAGACCTACTGACATTTTTCTAGAGTCCCTATAATAACTGCTTTCCTGATGACTCTATCTACATTTCCACCCATCTTTTCTTTAACCTTGATCACATTAACTGTATCTTATAACACCTTCTCCTCAACAACTAATGAATCTGCTTACATATTTGTTTATCTTATAAAGTACTTTACTTTTTTCTAACTCTTGCACTGCATTTTTACTTGCATATGAACTGCATTATATAAACCGATAAATCTAGACACTAGATATTAACATGAGAAAAAAATCATTTTGTACATTAAAGTGATGAGATATAAATACTAAATTATGAAGTTGATCTGTGTTTCAGCATATAATATAAGACAGGAAAGAATTTTAGAAATAGGGTGTTCATGCTTTCTATATTTCTTTTCAGCATGATGGTAATCTTGCTATATAACATTTCTGACACTGTCTAATCATCTTATGGGCCCCTTCCTGAAAAATATTTTTAAAAACTCTACTCCTCACTACCTTACTGATTGACCACAATGAAACATTGTCTATAGAAATATTTAATTGTATGCACTAAAAGTTAAAGAACATACTGAGTCACAGAAATAAGAACATTAATTTCTTTTTGGTAGGGGGAGTGCCAAGGATTCTCAGGGACAAATAAGCAGATTTACAAATATATAAACTTTTAAAACATGGCAAAAGTTAAAATCTTGTATCAAATATGCTAATTTCCCACAGTATTTCAAATAAAATAATTTGGAGTATTAGTACTTAGAAGAAAAAAATTAAATGGAAAAAGTTCTTACGGTGATGATTCCAAAATGATGCTATTAGCTTGCGTTGAAGATGGAGATCTGTGATTCACAAATACTTCACTTGGGGAAGTGTGAACCACATGGTCTACCAAATGACCAACTGAAGATGGTCGTAACCGGGTTCCCTCTTGTGTGAATGTAGAATTTCGACTACATAAAGAACAAGAAAATGGAGTAAAAATGTGCTTTAATTCAATTTTTAAAATTTTCTTACCTATGTGATTGCATCAAAAAGTGGTTGTGTGTTTCTAAGACTAACCACCATCAACTATGCAGTCTCTGATAATAAGTGTGATATAAACAGAAGGAACACAGAATAGGAAATCAAAATTTGAGCTATAGTCAACCATCTGCCACAAGGATTTTACCTATCCAGTCATCTATTATCTCTACCAACATTAATGTTTCTAACTTTTAGTCACTACAACTTTGTGTCTTAATCAGCATTTATAAAATAATGGGATAGAATAATTGGTTGAGAAATATCTACTGATCTAAATTCTTTTTTAAATTAAATTTATTGGGGTGACATTGTTTAATAAGATCATATAGGTTTCATGTACACATTTTTTTATAGTTCTAATAAAATTTGATTGAGAACCAGTAAGCAAATACTTTACAGAACACAGAAATATATATGATCCCAGCCCTTCCCAATACATGTCAATATAACATTGGGTGGGTTCCCTGAATACCTCAAATACTTTTGTTTTATACCTACATGGGAGAAACAGTTCTATACCTTAGCAATACAGAAATGAGGTGCTCTGACCTTTTAGGGGAAGCAGAAGAGGAATCAATTCAGTATGCATTTCTATGATCCATGATCTGCACATTGCATCGTGTGCCCACCATCCACAGTCATATCGTCTTCTGTCATCATGTATTTGGCACCATTTCCCTTTACTACCCTCCACCCCCTTCCCTCTGATAACCACCATATTGTTTGTGTCTATGAGTTTCAGTTTTATATCTCATATATAAGTGAAATCCTATGATTTTAGCTTTTCCTGACTTATTTCCCTTGGCATGATACTCTTTTTTATTCCTTCTATGTAAATATTTTAATTTATAGGACTTTCTTTAATTTCTAAGAATACTAAATAACATAGTTCCATCCTCATAAGTGACAGTCATATGAATTACTTTTATTACTATTATTAATTATGATAGTTAACATTTGAGTATGTGCCAGGCATTGTTCAAAGCATCTTTCATATATCAAACCTCATAGTATTAAGACATTATTACTATAAATACAATTTTATAGATGAAAAAAATGGGACAAACAGCCTTGGCTGGTGTGGCTCAGTGGACTGAGTGCCTGGTCTGCGAGCCAAAGGGGTCATTGGTTCAATTTCCAGTCAGGGCACGTGCCTGGGTTGTGTGCCAGGTTGGGTTCCCAGTAGGGAGCGCTCGAGAGGCAACCACACATTCATGTTTCTTTCCCTCTCTCCTTCCCTTCTCCTCTCTCTAAAAATACATAAAAATAAAAAAGATAATTTCCTTATAAAAAATAAAGAAAATGGGACAAAGAGATAAATTAATTAACTTGCACAAAGTTCTAATGCACAGTGACTCCAGGCCCATGCTCTTAATGACTACACTGTACGGTCTCTTTAAAATTTAGAAATAAACAATTTTTCAGATCATACCTAACTATTTCATGAATCAGAGCTACTACTAACTAGTTAATTCAATCATCTGGTTTAAATTCTTGTTCCTGGTAACAAATGTAGAAATGGCTGGCTGGAAAGGGACCAGAAAAAGAAATTCCTGGATTTTCTTCAACAAGCTAATTAGCCCTTGAATGCAGGCAGTCTTTTAAAGAAAGATGATTTAGCAACCTACAATTAACAAGACAGAAACTTTTTAGTCTAATTTTTTCTAGTAGTAAGGAAGACATCTAGGTATTAGGTATCCTTCTGTGAATCAAACTTTTTATGTATACTTTACTTCCAATATGGTAGAAATTTATGCTTTGGCTGACAAACATCCATCAGAATACAACTTTAGTTTAGTGCACATTTATTGGACAGTAATCTATTTTTAAAAAAGACTCCTTCAAATATTGTATTCCATACTAAAATTCAAATATTTTTATATCAACTTATGGGTTAACAAGGTCTGACAATTTGCTGACTTACATCTGTTAATTATTATATTAATTATGTATATATATTAACAATACATTTGAAAACATAAAATTAACATCTTTGGCTAGTATAAGTGGATCTTATTATCTATACCAAAGTATACAGCTTTTGTGAGAAATCCTAGAGTGAAGTACATATAGAATAAGTGCTGAATAACACATTGCTTGTTAGCATAGCTATGGCTAAACTTGTGGGAACTGGTCTTTGAAATCTGCTTTTCTAGACCACAGAAAATGGCAGAGCAGTGGTTGGGGTATGAGCTTAAGTAAGAGAAGCATAATCACTTAAGAATTTTCAGAAAATATATGCTCTTTTAGAAATTCTGTTGGAGATCCACATGGGAAAGGATTATGTCAACAACAACCATATTCCTAGATTTTAACTCCAGTAACAAATCTTGATTTATTGGCTAGGGACCCTTACTTTGAAAGTCAGCTGTGAAAGAAAGTGAGCATCCCCCTTGAATGTTTGTCCTACTACTCATTTGCCAAAGCTATTCCATGCCACTTATGCAATGAGCTGTAGGCTCAGAGGAAGGCTAAGAGAAAACGACGACCTGAAACAACAAAAATCATATCTAACCAAAGATTTAAATTAAAAAGACTTACACAGTTTGATCTTCAAACAATGGACATATACAAAAAATTTAGAAACGAGCAAAGTGTACACCTGATGTGAGTCTACTTACTGATTAGGAGTTCCAGGTGGAGATCGTGATGGAAGGCTCTGTGTTTCTAACCTGTCATCAGATACTGAATTTTTGCTTACTATTTCCCAATCCATTAATTTCTGTGCCAAGGGCTTACTTGGAGATCTACAGAAATAATTTAACATGTAAAAATTTTAATTTTATACACCAAAACAATGGACCAAATCTTAGAATTTGTATTAATACATTACATTCTAAATGAGTAAACATAAAGAGTTTACTTATAAGAAATTAGTGCATTCACTAATAGCCTCTTTGGTAAGAGGCTATTTACCAAATAATTTCCTAAGCAAGTAAATCTGCTTTATATGAAGGAAGAAAAGATAAGCTAGAAAAAGTAGGAGAACAGGAAAGAGAAAAAGAGAAGAAATAAGAAATAACAGGAAGAAAAAAACACAAGGGAATGTGTTTTTGGTAGATGGCTACCGAAAGTTTTCTCAAGTATTTCTCAATATATGACATCTATTTAATAAGGAGGCTAATGTTATAAATTAAGCTACTTATATAAAACACATAATAAATCATCTTATAAACTGATAGTTTTATATTTGAGTAATAAATTTACTGAAGAACACAGAAAAAGACTGAACCAAAGAGCATGTTAACAATGATCAAGAATATGCAATAAAATTTATTTATAAATTAGGAAGCATTAAAATAATGATGGATAGGTACCCTGAATTCTAGTGTTGACCTTCCAATTAAACAAATAACTTAAGTTTCCACATCTAAATATCTACACTAATAGTATAATATGTAATATTAAGGTCCTTCCCTACCTCCCAAATTTTATAATATACAAGTATCTAAGTTTTCAGTGAGTATTTTAGTCCATTAATTTTACTAACCCACAAGTAACTTAAATTACTTATGAATCCAAATCACACAAGTGCCTATCATTTCATATATTTATAGCCAAAAGCCTTTTTAGTTTGGCCGAATGACATCTTAATATAAGAACATTTAACACTTGCTAGGAGATGTAAACGTTATTGATTTAAAAAAAGGATGTTGACTCAGATTTCATTCTGCATAAGTAAATTTAAAGTTATTAAAGCATGAACATTTCTAGTTATCATGAGTTTAAATTTTAGAATCTTCTAATCTGAAGATAACTCAAGACTTCTAGTCCAATCCTTTCATAGAGCAATGCAGATATTCCTTTCAGTTACAGTAAAATGAAAAAGTATATTATGTCATGTACTAGATATTTAAAACAAAGTACAAAATTTTAGAAGAAACCTTAGCATTTGTGGCTCTTTATTAATGCTAATTCTTAATGTTAATAAAACTATTCATTCTCACATATTAGACCACTAAGTGTAAGCTGTACAAGAATTTGCCAACTATAGTCAGGAGATCAACTACTTTCATTTTCTAACAGAGAAAAAAAGTCATTTGAAGGAGGAAAAAATCCAGTTATACTCACCTAGAATGAAGCATCAGAACACTTTGCTGTTGTTAATACACTAAACATGGTTGTAAATGCTTTGCATTTAAAACTAAATTTCAGGTGTTTGATTTTATTAACAGTTTTAACCTCAGAGACGCACCCACTCAAGCTTGCTGTCTATGTTTCCTGTTGAGTGTGGAAATTTCAGAGAAAAAAATACCACACTTCATCAGTATGTTTGCAATGTGGTAAATTTATTTTCTGACCATGGAGCCTTATTTTTCTGTTGCATGGGAACATTCTTTTGCTTTCTTCTTAGATGTACGACAATTTAAAAAGTGTGAAAGCAATTCAAAGAGTAGATACATAAAAAATAAAATAAGTAACATTTATTATTGCTGAAAAAATCTTACATGAAAAGTTTAAGGAGAAATCTGTTCTACTTTTATTGCCAACTAAAATTCCATGAAGTGGACAAGAACTCTAGAATTCTCTAACACTTTAACAGAGCAAGTTAATTTAATAATTGCTAAAATCATTTGAGTATTATGATAGATATACATCAGGTCATCACAACAGGATTCTGATACATTATAAAATCCACCCCAGAAAAGCTTAAGCTTTCAGAGTTAGCAGGATCACTAAAACAGTACTATTCAAATCTTGTCCAGCGAGTAACTTACTATTTCAAGGAGGATTCAGACAATTCTGGCATGACAAAAGAAATAGGACAGCTATTTGGGACTTATGGTATTGGAATTTTAGCTCTACTATTCATTGACTAATGCACATCAGTTTTACAAAATCACCTATTAAACAATTTCACAGTTTAACAATGCACATATAAAATGAAAAACTAAGATGCAGGTGTAACTGTATGCATATTTCTCAAAATCTGTTATGACCAAAACATGAAAACATTAGGACATCATACACAGTAGAACTAGTTAACAAATCATGTTCAGTATTTTATAAATATCAAGCAAGAAAAGAATAAAATGTTAGTATTTTGTTATGGTGTGGTCTTAAGAGAGAAGAATCAAAAAACATTTACTTTGATTTTAACAAGTCTGAAAGGAATGTTTAATAAGAGCTAGGACAAATACATTTTAAATTAAAACAGCATAGTTGATGGGAAGTAAACTCTCAAGAGTAATTCCAAGGAAAACACTGTCAAATTAACATTTCTGTGTACATTTTACATTTGTATACAGGTCTTAGTACTTTCTAACTGGAAACAAGCATATTTAAGACTATAAAAGGGAGGATTTTGAATAATTTCAGTAGCCACATCTATTAGAGTAGGCATCTATGTTCTTTCTTTTCTTCTCCTTTCTAATATAGCCACTAATATAACACCAATATTTATATTTAATAACCAAGCCACTACTATAACAATATTTATATTTAATAAATAGAACATTTCCCTCACAAATCTAAAAATAAGAAATAATAAATCAAAACTTAAAAAAAAACAAATGCTGAGATAAATTACATCATTAAAATTCAAGTAAACTTATCACAGCAAAATGCTATAGCTCTGACCAGCTAAATCCATCTATATCAAGTGCTTTTTATTGGTGGTATTCCTGCTGGGTGGATTACTCATAGACAAATAAGGATGAGGATAAGCCAGGGATAAGTTTAAAAATGCAAGTAAATTTTATTATTCAAACACATACAAATCATGTTTTAATGATTTTTTTTCTGTTTCAAATGTTCTTACTCCAAGGAATTTATAATATTAAATTTACTTTTATAAGAATTCAGGGCATAGTACTCACAAAGCCTTGGATAGTCTTAGCAACGATCTGGACTCCAGAAACATGGGATTTGAGGGGTAAAGTGAAGAATTCTAAACGTATACAGTTTAGGATTAAAAAATTTAACTGTTTAAATATTTACTGACATTATAAATGACTGTAGACTTTTCAACGTCTAAGAAAATGCCTATGATAAGTTATAAATATAAGCAACAAAAGTATAAAACAATTCTTTTTTTTAAGATTTTATTTATTTTTAGAGAGGGATGGGAGGGAGATAGAGAGAGAGAGAAACATCAATGTGCTGTTGCTGGGAGTCACGGCCTGCAACCCAGGCATGTATCCTGACTGGGAATTGAACCTGCGACACTTTGGTTCGCGGCCCGCACTCAATCCACTGAGCTATGCCAGCCAGGGCTTGTATAAAACAATTCTTAAAGCAAATAAAATACACAGATACATACATAAAATCTCTGTGAGTACATGCATTGTGAAATCTACCACAAAATATTAAAACTTGCTGTGCTCAGTTTTTTCCTCTGTAATGGAATTTACCTCATGAATTATGAGGATTGTGAATTAATATAAAAATTGCTTGGCATAGGTAAGTACAAAATAAATGTTAGTCATTATAGATTAATTGATCAACCTCTTTCTATTCATACCCCCATACAGTTGATTCCATCACAGAAGCCACAGTGATCTCCCAATCCCCAATATTTTTATTATGGAACATTTAAGACATAAACATAAGTACAGAGAACAGTTTAATAAACTCTATGTATTCAGAAATCAGGTGCCACAATTATCATCATGGTCAATCTTGTTTCATCTCTACCACTTACTCTAACCCTCTTGCCCCAATTATTTTTAAGCAAATCCTAAAAATCACATATTTGTAAATACTTCAGTTTATTACTCTACCAGATTTTTAAAAATGCAAGTCTGTTTATATCCCTTCCATGCTCTCAGCCTTCACTGGCTTCCACTTAAAATCCAAAATCCTTACATTTCCAGCATGGGATCATACAAGTTCTGGATACTGCCTACCTCTCACACATCTCTTCTACCACTGTTGTGCTCACTCTGGTCCATTATTGGCCTGTTCTTCCTGAAATATAAGGAGACTCCAGTTTCCATGGCCTTTAACTGGCTCAATCTTTTACTTACATTAGACATCTATAGCACCAATCAGAATTTAAACTTCATGGGCATAAGATATGTTTTGTTATACACTGTGTTTACAGGGCCTGAAACAATGCTCAGCAGAGTAGGTCTTTAACAAATATTTGCAGTCACTAATTTGGTCCCTCTCCCTCCTCCAGAGCTCTGATTCTGAATATTTAATCCTATTAAGGGTGTTGCTCAGGCATATCAAACTAGACCTGTGCCAATTTAACACCTTCTTCCATTACAAATTTGTTCTCCCTCCTGTAACCCATCTTTTGTATGTCACTTAAATCTGAGTCTTTCCAGATACTACTGTTGCTAACCCATCTCTACCCAACTGGTTTACAACTGCTAGTTCTACTTACAAAATGTTCCTCAAATTTGATTCTATTCTCCCTTTCATTGACAATGTTTTAATTCAGGCTTTCATTAATTTCATTTGGATTACTACAATAACCTTGTTTCTGGGTACTCAGTCTTTACTTCTAATTCATTGTCTATTCTTGCTCATAAAACTGTTTTCTAAAACATAAACTTGATGATGTCACTTCACTTGTTAAAAGTAAACTGGCTATTAACAGATGCTTAAAAAGTGAAGATAACTAAATGGCAACCCCCCAAAAAGCAACTTACTTATTAACAATATGATTTAAAAATATATGGAGCCTTGTCTAGGTTGCTCAGTTGGTTGCACCTTGATGCCCAGCTAGGGCATAGACAGGAAGCCATGGATCAATCTTTCTCTGTCTCTCAAATCAATAAATGTATCTTTGGATGAGGATTAAAAATATATATATTGAAATGGCTAGATAAAATATAAAAATAAGTCATAATGCTTCTCAAAATGTTTTAAAAAGGATAATGAACCATACAACAAAATGTTAGATTAATAATATAATGCTTGCCTGGCTGGTGTAGCTCAGTGGAATGAGCACAGAGCTGTTAGTCAAAGTGTAGCTGGTTCGATTCCCAGTCGGGACACATGCCTGGGTTGCAGGCTGGGTCCCTGGTGGGGGGAGTGCAAGAGACAACCACACATTGATGTTTCTATCCCTCTCTTTCTCTGACCCTTCCCCTCTCTAAAAAGAAATAAATAAGAAAATAAATAGATAAATAAATAAATAAAATCTTTAAAAAATATATAATGCTCGATTCAGCCTAGTCAAAGCTACAATGCTTGGCACAGGGTTAATTTAGCTCATGTAAAAAAATATGAATGAATAAATTAGACAAACTATTTCATTATTCCCTCAACATAATTTGTTGTTTAATTAAGGAAAGATTATGTGATAATTCTATAATCATTTCTGGAAAGAAATTTTTGGTAATTTTATTTCTCTAAAAAAAAAAAAGACACTGAAATAGAAGTGGCTTACCTTGCAAAAACCCTGTCTTTATTTGCCTTTTCTTTGCCATACTGAACTGACTGCACTTCAGTTCTCCCACTGAAATACAAAAATATGTCCAATAATAAAATATTAAAGAGAATTAGAAAATAAAATAATACACAACATGATTATATTACAATTTTGTAAGTGACAAGGTATTTCTAGCAGAGAAAAGGGAGCAGAGGATAAGAAGACTGGACCACATTCCAGTTCTAGCTGAACAGATGAAGCTTAATCAGAGTTCTTCCATTAATCAACAAAGATGTGTTCCACAGACACTTCATTTTTAAGATATCTATTTGAGAGGAAATGTGAGAGAGATAATTTTGCATGAGAGAATTCCTTCTCTGCTATGCCTTGGAAAAGCATGCCCTCTAGATGCCCAGAGATAGGTTGTTGTCTCAGCTCATCTATGCCCTGTCCTTACCCTGTAAGTCTGTGATTTAGCTAGCATCTCCACTACTACTTAATGAAGGATCTACACATGGGCAACTTGAAGAACAGCTCTTTCCTTAGGCAAGCTTTTCCTCTTTGTGCACTGGCAAAAGGTCATTGACATAAAGATTGGTTACATCCTCAAATCCTTCCATGACCAGACAGGCAATTCCAGATTTTTGTGGATAGGAAGGAACTAAGGACAGAAATATGGTTGGGAGTTAGGCGCTATAGGGGATTTATGTCGAAGCTGATTTGTCTAGCAAGCACACTGTTTATGAGTGGGCACTGACCATCCTTTGTGGTACACCAATGTTTTCAGACCAAATTTGTTAATTAAAACTTGGTTCTCAGAGAATTTGTTACCTGACACATTACATTAGTTAGCTGTGAATGAACATAAATGTTTAGTATATCAAATATAAACATTTACATATATGTACACATTAAAAGCAGTCATATAGGATCCCAAAGCTAAACAAACAATTTCAAGATAATCTTTCATGGATAAGTATAGATGAATACGAACAGAATAAATAGCATGCCTGTTGAAGCTTTAATGGCAAAGTCATAAATGTTACTATGATTTTCAAATTTAGATAAGTTGAAGTTTCTTAAGAAATTATATTTCCTTTAACAAGAATAAACTATACTTGCAATTGCAAAGAGGTATCAAATTAAGATTAACCACTGTTTTGTATTTCCACATTAGAACAAATATTTCAATTCTCTGGATATTTTGGAAGAGAGATAATAAGGGTATATGTATGAGGAGGTTGGTGGAAGATGTAATAAATCCTCTGATATCCTTAAGTCCATGTCTTGGTCAAAATTGTATTTCAACATTTTAAGTATTACAATACCTCTTGTATCCCCAACCATTGTTTACTATGAGGGGAAAAAAACCATTCACTTAATGCACATCCTTCAGGAATAAGACTATGTCCAGATAAAAATTTGTTATGCTGCTTTCCTCACTTCATTTACATAGTTAATCATTTTGATAATTAAAAAAGTGCTTTGGTAATGTTTTTAAAGTTCTTCAGGACTACATATGTGAAACTTAAACTTTTACAACTATAAAATATATGGTTAATATATACACTAATTTAATGTTAACTGAACTGTCACTGGCATCAATCCAGTCCTTCTGTGTTCTAAGTTTTATAGGAGGCTAAAGCCAACAGACTCTATTTTCTAGGTTCCTTTGCAAGTTGGCTTTCAGTTAGGTTCTGCTTTTTATCTGGTGAGAGATTAGAAAGCAGACCAAGTCAAAAGCAGAAGACACAGGTGATGTTAGCTGCTTAACAATATTGGGCACAGAATTCAGGATAAACAGCACCGTGTAGATGGTACCATTCCATAACAAAGCAGCACCTTTGTGGCAGCTACAGAACTGACTATAACAATGGCTCTAAGAATGTAGTAGCTAGTGAACGCTTGTGGACCCTGGCCTACAGCATAAGATTCTGATCCTTAGGCATTATCCCTTCTTCCTATATACTTCTCCAAAACTATCCTTCTCCATTTTGCTTCTCCAGCCTAACACCTGTGTAATCAATTACCTCAATTAAATTGCTTTATTTGAAAACTCAAAGCAGCTGTTTCTCTGATAAATGATTCTTCAGTGAAGTGTATTCAAATGGGATACTATTAGTCAAAAAGCTGGATTAACAAGCTGAATTTCTTAAAGATAAAATTGAAATATGAGGGAACATTTTAAGATTTATGTTTGGTATTATCCATATTATTCTTTAGGGGTTCAACATTATTATTACTTAGTTTTCAATTGCAGTTTACATTCAGTATTATTTTGTATTAGTTTCAGGTGTACAGTGTGGCTAGACAATCATATACTTTGCAAAGTGGTCCCTCCTCGATATTTCAAGTAACTACCTGGCACTGTACAATACACAGTTATTAAAATATTACTGACTATATTCCCTATGTTGTACTTTGAATTTCTGCGACTATTTTGTGACTACCAATTTGTACTCAATCCCTTCACCCTTTTCACCCAGCAGACCCAACACCTCTCCCATCTGTCAACCATCAGTCTGTTCTATGAGTCTGTTTCCAATTTGATCATTTATTTGGTTCTTCAGATTCCAAATATAAATAAAATCATATCCTACCTTTCTTTCTCTGACTTATTTCACTTAGCATAGTACTCTCTAGGTCCATCCATACTGTTGCAAATGGTAAGACCTCATTCTTTTTTTTTTTTTTAATTTTTATTTATTTATTTTTAGAGAGGGAAGGGAGGGAGATAGAGAGGAAGAGAGAGAAACATCAATGTGCGGTTGCTGGGGGTTATGGCCTGCAACCCAGACATGTACCCTGGCTGGGAATCGAACCTGGGACACTTTGGTTCCCAGCCCGCGCTCCACTGAGCTATGCCAGCCAGGGCAGACCTCATTCTTTTTTATGGCCAAGTAATATTCCATCACACACACACACACACACACACACACACACACACCCATCACTTTTTTATCCACTCATCTATTGATGGGCACTTGGGTTGCTTCTATAGGTTGGCTATTATAAATAATGCTGCAGTGAATATAGGAGTGCATATAATTTTTCAAGTTAGTACTTTGGGTTTCTTCAGATAAATTTCCAGCAGTGAAATAACTGGGTGTTAAGTTCCATTTTTAAATTTTTTAAAGAACTTCCATATTATTTTCCATAGTGGCTGCACCAATCTGAATCCCTACCAACAGTGCATAAGGGTTTCCTTTTCTTCACATCCTTTTTAACACTTGTCTGTTGATTTATTTATTTACTTTTTAAAAATTCTCACGCAAGGATGTATTTATTGATTTTAGAGAGAAGGGAGACAGAAACATCAATCAGTTGCCTCTCATAAATGTCCCAACTGGGGATCAAATCTACAACCTAGGTATGTGCCCTGATGGGAATCAAACCAGGAACCCTTTGATGTACAGGACAATGCTCCAATCTAATGAGTCACCTGGCCAAGGCCTTTGTTGATTTATTGATTATAGCCATTTTGACAGGTATAAGGTGGAATCTCATTATGGTTTTACTTTCTATTTACCTGATGACTAGTGACAATGAGCATCTTTTCATAGTCTATTGTCCATCTGTATGTTGTCTTTGGAGCAGTGTCTATTCAGGTCCTCTGTTCATACTTTTTAATTTTTAGTATGGATTTTATAGAGAAGCAAAGCGGAGACAGAAAAAGAGGAAGAGAAACACCGATTATTTGCCTTCTTTCTGAATCTGCAACCCAAGCATGTGCCCTGACTGGGAATTGAACCAGTGGCCTCAGGCTTTGAAGTACAATGCCCAACTGGGCCACACTGGTCAGGGCACCTCTGCTCATTTTTAAACTTGGATTGTTTTTGGACTTCCGGCCAAGATGGAGGATAGGTAGATACACCTTGCCTCCTCGCACAACCAAAAGAAGGACAACAGTAAATATGAAAACCAAAAATAACTAGAACTGCCAGAAAATCAAACTGCATGAAAGTCTGACAACTAAGGAATTAGAGAAAAAACATTCATTCAGACTGGTAGAAGGGGTGGGGATGGGATGCCGGATTGAAGAGGACACACCACAACACGATGGATGGAGGACCAGGTAGTCCCACATTTACATGTGGATAAAACGGGAGGAACAACTGCAGAGTGAGACAGGCAACATAACCTAGGGTTCCGGCGCAGGGAAATAAAACCTCAAATCCTCTGGTTATAAAAATGGTGGGGGTTATGGTGGCAGAAGAAACTCCCAGCCTCACAGGAGAGTTTGTTGGAGACCCACAGGATCCTAGAACAAACCCACTGACCAGTATCAGAGGTGCCCTATTTGCTTTTGAGTAGTGGGGGAAGTGACTGAAAGCCTGCCAAGAGCCCAACAAGCAGCTTAGTTCCCTCTTGGACCCTTTCCCAACATACAGAGCCACAGTGCAGTGACATGGTTGCCCTGCACTGGCAAATACCTAACGCTACCCTCCTTACAACATAACACGTGCACTAAGACAAAAAAAAATGCCCAAATGAAAGAAGAGATCAAAGCTCCAAAAACAGAACAAAGTAATGAAGAGATAGCCAACCTATAAGATGCAGAATGCAAAAAACTGATAATCAGGAGGCTCACAGAATTGATTGTACTTGCTTGCAAGATGAAGGAAGAAATGAGGTTACAAAAGTGAAATAAAGGAAAATGTATAGGGAACCAACAGTGAAGGGAAGGTATCTTGGATTCAAGTCAGCAGTCTGGAGCAGGAGGAACAAATAAACATTCAACCAAAACAGAATGAACAAACAAGAGTTAAAAAAAAATGAGGAGAGGCTTAGGAACCTCAGACAATTTTCAAAGTTCCATCATCTGAATCATACAGGTGCCAGAGGGTGAAGAGGAAGAGCAAGAAATTGAAATGTTATTTGAAAAATAATGAAGGAGAAGTTCCCTAATCTGGCAGAGGAAATAGACTTCCAGGAAGTCCAGGAAGCTCAGAGAGTCCCAAAGAAGCTGGACCCAAGGAAGCACACACCAAGGCACATTGTAATTACATTACCCCAGAGTAAAGAAAGATAAGGAGAGAATCTTGAAAGCAGCAAGAGGAAAGAATAGAGTTACCTACAATGTAGGT